AAATGATGGCGATACTACAAATGGAGAGTATCGTGTTCAATTACCTGATGGAAGGACACAAGTTGTTAAATATGTTGCGAATTGGGCAACTGGATTTCATGCCAAGGTATTCCAACTAACTTTTTCTAAATAAATCTTTTTTATTTAAAACTAATTTATTCTCTTTTTGATATACTAAAGAAATGAGAAAAAACACCACCATCTGCCAAAGGATGGTATTATCTGCTTCATCTAACCATTTATTTTCTGTTGATCGACAGAGACAACAGTCCCAAAAATACATTATGATAATTTGCTTTCACTACGTTGRAAAAGTAGACTTGATTACTTTCTGTGCAAACATATTACACATTTTTTCAGCTTGAAATTGTCCTTAAGTGTTATTTGATTAGCATAAGTGTTCTTYACAAAATGTATGGCCCCACTTGAATTTAAATAACAATTCGACTCTAAGTCAATTMAGATTTTATTAGAATRCGCTGAAAATAAATTGCRAACAWACCGGAGCTTTAACTTCACCGTTGGCTCGTGTTATGAAATGAAAATCSACTTTTATTATTTATTAACCCYTAACATTTATAAACTTCCTTCTTTTAATTTTAATATTTCCTTACAGGAAAAATATTTTTAGTTCAATCGTCAACTTGTGTTAAATCCAAATTAACTGTTATTTTCGTACTTGTCTTTTTAAGATAAGTTATGAAGGACAACCAACTTATAATCCACAACCCCAACCTGGTGGTGGTTACCCAAGCCAGCGACCATCGGGACCCAGTTTTCCTTCAGGACCAGCACCTAGACCGAATATTCCTTCACCGCCCCCGAGTCCTGGACAAAAGTACACTCCGGATGGAGGATATAAGTATTAGTGGTGCAACGGAACAAGGATAGGTTTTTAAAAGACTTGTAAATAAAATACTCATCTAGTTAGTTGGCAATCATACCATATGCAGACAAAAACATTTGTAAAGCGGTTTCGTAAATAGGAAAACGAACGATTACTTGATAAGAAAAGTCCGCTCTAATTATATCAAGGCGAGGAAAAACTTTTTATTTTAATTATTATCGGCGCTAGAATATATTTGGGGTACACATTTTATGAAAAATGTTGGAATTTTTTCAATTTGCTTTAAGTTTTCCATAAATCTTTAGTATAAGTTGGCATAATCTTGTGTATAATTCAAAATGCATAAAAGCACTGTTATGACAATTATGGTTTTTTATAGGCCTGGGACGAACTTTTCAAATGTTACCTAATACAACATATAAATAACATAAAAATATACTAACATACTCTAAAAAAGTATGACCCTTTCTTAACTGCTTCTAAATACTGCCAAAAGTGTATCTATACTCTTATGTGATTATTTTTTTGTTATTTTAGCTTCTAATATCATATGTCTAAGCAAAATTGGTTCCTTAAATTAACTTTTTTTAAACGCGAGTATTTCGGAAATTTGGCGTCTCTAAACATATGTACTTTTGAACATTTCTCTCAGTATTCGTATCTAAATCCTGCGTATTATATCTTGTTCTTAGGTCCGAATAATGTTCAATTCATTAGCAACCAATAGGTAATTTTTTATATTTTTACCTGTCCAATGTGAACAGATTCAAAAAAATATGTCAAATCTGTATTATTTACGCACTTATAATATAACAACTTTTAGTGTAGATTTTTTGTGTAATATACAAAATATGTATATGAATAAAGGTATTTTTGTAGAATTGAGTTATATTTGATGGTCCATTTTTTGCACATTATGTTATTGAAACATGGGCTTTGTGATTCGGGTCTGCAAACC